TACGTGCGGTTTGTATTTCTTTTTATTTTATCAGTTGCAATCAATAATTATTTAGATAAAAGAAGAAAATTAATTTTAGTGTTCGGTGAAGTTTGGGTGAGATGGAAATGAACCAAATAATACTAGTATTCTTTCGTTCTGAACGAAATGAAAATTTTCACTTAAACTGATTTATTCCTACGTGGTATAGGAAATAACAATGATTTCTGGATTTTTCTATATCGGACCGTTCCTTTCTTTGTCGATTCCCTTTATAAATCAGTTTAAGTGAAAATTTTCAGTTCGTTCAGAACGAAAGAATACTACTAATAGTACTATACTAATTACTAATATTCGTTTCGTCCATAAGAGGTTATGTTTTATGTTCATTTGTAATTCGGTTACCACAGATATAATATAAAATACTACTATTTTTTATCTCGATTATATCGAAAAAGATAATTCGAATTAGTTAGTTTTAATTTACTATCGAATTAGTCGTATTATTTAATTCGAATTTTCCCAACACTAGATTTATATGCCGTGGTTACAGCTTTACTCTATGGTTACGGCACTAAAAGGGATGCAAATACAGAAAAAATCCGGTGGCTCTCAAAATTTTTCCAAAAAAAATCATTTTGTTTTAAATTGTCAAACTTAAATAACTCGGTTATTTTGGACTTATTTGAAAAATGGTAAAAAAAGTGTCTTTTATCGAGATCTACCAGCCCTGAAAATATTTGCACTTATTTAAGACTCACCCTGTATTATATAGGGTGGCGACAATTTCGATGCTCAACATTGGCATCTCAGAAACTACGAGAGATACGAATTCGGTTAAATGGGACAAAAGTTGCTTAATTAGAAGTTTGACAAACACCTATGAAGAAAACTCCGGTATCTTGATTAGTTATGTCAAAAAAATAAAAATAATACGTTTATTTTAAATGACAATATCTTCAGAACTATTGTATCTATTGCAACGTAAGTCGGTAGTTTTATATTTTTGACTTCGGCCAATAAAATGCCAAAAAAATGGTTTCACCCGAGTTCTTCTATATATTCTAAAAAAATCATTATGAATGTTCATCTAAAAGCATACATGTGTGTGTACAGTACTAATTCTAAGCAGTATCGTATACATATACACATAAAACAAGATGATATTATAATTTTACACAGTAAACATATTTACGATTTAAAATTCTCCCGCCTTTAATGAGACCCGATGTATTCTACTCGGGCATTCTTATCTTGAATACAGCAACTCTACGAGTCAAAAAGTCATTTTTTATCGTAGAGGATACAAATAATAACAATGAACTTTTCAGAAATTATGTTTAAATATGTATAGGCACAGATTTTTACGATCAATTGGTAAATCTTTCACCACCAAACAAATTGCGCGAAAAGCACCGCTATTAAATTTTTCGCTTCTTTAGTCCTGGGAGAATTTTTTCGGAAATAAATAAGAATTCTAAATTAGGTAAATATATATTTTAGATCAAATTAAAAATATATCATTCCCAAATTATATAATATGTAGTATAAAAATACTACAAAAATCAGTCTCTGTTTGCCTTTAATAGGAACAGAAGGAAAACATTAGTCGGCAAGCCCTCAACAAACTCGTAACCGTATACACCAGTGTACACTATTGTAGACATTCACACTCACACACAACAACCACACCTACATCAGTGTACATTAGTGTAACTGCCTTCCGGCATCATCAGTACGGTAAGGAATCAGCAAGCGATGACAACGATTCCAAAAAATATAAACCAGGAACCGGACGATGCACGAGGCACCGGCTGCAACCTAGTAGATGAAAAAAAAAGATGATGAAAAACAAAAGGAGCAAACGAAGACCCCAATTTGCAGCCTAGAACTAAAGTCGCCCAGGATTGTGGGCTTCGTCTGGCACAGCTGCGGGGGTAGCCAACAGCAACCCGCCGCAATGCCCTTAGCCGAAGTCAAAATAAAATAAAAATTGAAATAGTGAGGGGAATATATAAAAACAGAAGAAAAAAATTTACTTTTACTACACTTTACTTTTTTTTCTGAAGTGTTCTCGAATAGTTGAAATTGTTATCAGGTAGTAATTGTTAATTTTGAAGTTTAACTTGATATAATGTCATTTTAACAGAACGTCAACGGTTTCTTGTAGACGTATCTGTTTTAAAAAAGTAAAGTGATCTCGAATAGTTGAATTTAAATATTTTAAATAGTTTTTTTCTTTATTCTTTGTATTTTTTTGCTTCCGACGACGGAAAGAGATAAACTTTCCGAAACGTTAAGCATTTTTTTCTTCGTTGGGCACATTTTTATTACTGTAAACATAACTTCTGACAAACAGTGTCCGTTTAGGTTTAACGCAGAAGTGTCTACAAAAAATAACTATTTTATTTTGTAGATTTTTCTTGCTGTGCAGTTGCGAAATACCGATAAAGGATTCTTTTGGATACCATAACTTTGAAACGGTTTACGATAAAAAGTTTTACGTCGCAGATTCTTGTAGACCATAAAATTTCCTAAAAAATCTATCTGAGAGTAATTTTTTTCAATTCAATAATTCGTACATTTGAAAGCTTTGAAAAGTGAACAAAGTTTTAGTGTTTTTTTTTTCGCTTTCTTCTTTTCTTTCACTTACATAGAACAATAAATAAGATTAAATAAATAATTTATTAATTTTATTTTTATTTTATTAATTGTGATTAATACATTTCTTTTATTTCGTCAATGAGATAGAAACACACAACAAAATACACAACAGAGATACAACTTTTAATAGGTATTAAACGGCCTACATAAAGTTCCAGTGATAACCCATATGCACGTCCCTGGTGTCCCTATCGACACTTTTTTAGCATTCAAATATGTAGCACTCATAGTAACTTTTGCCCTCAAAATTTAATTCGAATCACTAAAAGCACTTGAAAGAAAATCATAATAAATAAAAAAAATGAAGACTACTCCCCTCAAGTTACAAAACAAAACAGAATCGGAATTTTAGATTATGTTGATATAAAAATTAAATAATATTTTTACATAAGGATTTCCCCCAGAAGTGATGGCACATGTTTCTTAAAACACCCTGTATAACATTTGATTAAACGATTAAATATCCAGTTTAAATTAACAGGATTAAGTATTTACAGTTGGGAGTTGGAACCAAGAACAGTTAACCTAATAGAACTGCTCATTCAGCCAAAAGTGTCAGCCAGGTGCATGCGAAAACTCCTCGCTTTGTAACGTCATTGTAGTCCTTGTCATGGTTATTAGTCCTTATCCGGCAACCAATAATACACACACGTGCATTATTGGTTGCCGGATGCAAAACGTTAATTATTTAGTTTATTTATTTAAACACCTTATATGTATGCAGTATAGAAAATTAATTGTATAAATCGTATTAAATACTCGAATAATGCATTTTTAAGAACAGCAGTTCCCAGCATCACCTTTTTCAGGCATTCTTTTTAGTAGTACTTCCATATTTTGCTTTAAACTAATTAATAAACAATATCGTAGGCACTTAGTAAGCACTTTGTCACAATCCACAACACAAAATGAACGTATTTATACACTCTATAGCTCTAAAAACTTTAAAGACACCTTTTTCACATTTAAAATTGACAAAATAATTAAATCAAAATTTCTCAGCTGTTATTTTTATAAGGTTACCATAGGCAACTAATAATACACACTATCATGACAAGGACTACAATGACGTCACAACGGTCAGCTGAAGAGCGGGAAGAGGCGAACGTACGTCTTATGAGGATGAGCAATCCTATTAGTTTACTGTTCTTGGGTTGGAACCTTTGGTGTTACAACAGAAAAATAAAACACTAAATCACCACAATACCCCAAAACACTTTTACTTTTATACTGGTCGCGCGTTTTGCTAACCATGTTAGCATCATCAGCAGATGATTAAAATGCAGTTAAGTGTATAAGTAAAAGTGTTTTGGTGTATTGTGGTGATTTAGGGTATTTTGCAGGATTAAGTAAACTTAAGTTTTATAGATACTCCAAACCTGAATATAACCTAATAGAATTCAGTAGTGATTGGAATAATCGAATTATTTTCACCATCGAATAATTAGTAATAATTCATATATCACAATCGAATTAATAATTCGAATTATTTAGTAGTATTATAAATTTAACCTAAAAATAAATTCGTCCCAGCTAGTGCTCGTCTAGGGGTTATTTTAAACAAATTCTGAACCATTGCCATACCTATATTCTATCACTGAATAAAAAATAAAAAAAATATTCTTTATTCAATGTATTCTAATAACTGTGCCGAAGCCGTTTAATAAATTAAACCATAATTTAAAGTTTTAAATTTAAAAGTGCCGAGTTTATGATTGTTTCAATTCCTATTGAAAAGCTCATATCTAAAATAAAAGCTTCTTCTAAAACGATATAAGTATGTCATTGTTTACGTGCGGTTCGTATTTCTTTTTATTTTATCAGTTGCAATCAATAATAATTATTTAGATAAAAGAAGAAAAAAAGAAAAAAAAAAGAATTAATTTTAGTGTTCGGCAGGTGTTCGGTGAAATTTGGGTGAGATGGAAATGAACCAAATAATAGTAGTATTCTTTCGTTCTGAACGAAATGAAAATTTTCACTTAAACTGATTTATTCCTACGTGGTATAGGAAATAACAATGATTTCTGGATTTTTCTATATCGGATCGTTCCTTTCTTTGTCGCGATTCCCTTTATAAATCAGTTTAAGTGAAAATTTTCAGTTCGTTCCAAACGAAAGAATACTACTAATAGTACTATACTAATTACTAATATTCGTATTCGTCCATAAGAGGTTATGTTTTATGTTCATTTGTAATTCGGTTACCACAGATATAATATAAAATACTACTATTTTTTATCTCGATTATATCGAAAAAGATAATTCGAATTAGTTAGTTTTAATTTACTATCGAATTAGTCGTATTATTTAATTCGAATTTTCCCAACACTAGAATTCAGCATAATTTTTTATAGATTGTGCTCGAGCTGGAAATATAGTGTACACCACGGATGACTACTTTATCAAAGAGAAACCCCTTCAATGCTACGACTGTAATTCAGAGTACGATCCCAGATGTGGAGATCCTTTCAATCCCTACAGCATCGGCATTGTCAATTGCACAGATATCAAGCCTCCAGAACATCTGATGGGTGCCGATCCTAAAAGTCGAATGAAACCCATGGTGTGTCGAAAAATAGTTCAACATGGTAAGAACACATTATAGCCGCTTTCGATTTGCATTTTCGTTTGAACTGAACTGATCAGTTCGGTTCAACAGAAAAAAAAACTCTGCCAAATTAACTAATATAACTTATAAACTTGAACAATTGATGGAAACTGTACAATACAGGGTGTTCCGAACTGTAAAAAAGTTCGTATAAATGTATGTCCTAAAATGCTTAGTTTCGGAGATACAGGGTGTAGAAGTTTCATTTTTATTTCGATTTTTTTCAAATAATTTCTGAAGTAACGTCATTATTTGGCTGAAAATTGGTGTCTGGGAGTATTTTGACACGAGAAACTTGATTTTGATGTCAATATGGCTCCTACTAGTAGAGGGCGCCACCTACATATTTACGACGTTTTTTACGTGAAAAAGGTCTCTTGGTAAAAATCGCTACGAGTGATGGTTTTCGAGATATTTGGAATTGAAATTATTAATACCTGTCATCATTGACATAAATTAAACATGTTGACTGTTTTTGTGCCCAAAGTTCAACAGAAACTGTTTTATCATATTTTTTTTGAAGAAAAATTTATGATTAATTTAAAAAAAAATCCCAATTTATTATTTAAGTGAAATAACTATCTACTCGACGTATTTATTTTTCGTCAATAATGATATGTATTGACTAATTCCATTCTAAATATCTTAAGAACGGTTGCTCGGAGCGATTTTTACAAAGAGACATTTTTTACGTAAAAAGTCACAGAGATGTATATTTTTTTACTCGGTAGTTTTATACAGGTACTGACAAAAAGTTATTACGCTTTAAAATAGTTAAAACACATGTAGGTGGCGCCCTCTATCAGTAGGAGACATATTGACATCAAAATAAAATTTTTCATGCCAAAAAACTGCCAGACACCAATTTCCATCACAATATTGACGTTACTTCAGAAGTTATTTAGAAAAAATCGAAATAAAAATAAAACTTCTACACACTGTATCTCTGAAACTAAGCATTTTATGACATACATTTATACGAACTTTTTTACTTATTTTTATCTGCAGAATATGCTGCCGAAGTTTCCGGATTACAGTTCGGACCCTGTATACACATAAATTAGCTGTTGCCTTGCGACAACAGAGGTGTAACATTTGAGTAGATCAGTTCAGTTCATTGGGGAAAAAGATCAGTCCCTTGCTACAAATGCAAAACGAAAGCGGCTTATACTTATATCTATACCGGTCATATTAATCACAATAGATGCATCTAAAACCTGGTCCAAACCGCATCCCAAAATCTTTTTTAGTTCAAGAGATATTCAACTTTAAATTTACCCTAAAATTTTGCTTTTCCCGATAATTATGTCCGGCAGTTGATTTGACGCATTCCCTAGTTGTAGCGCTGAATGTATACTTTACAAAAACGGTATCGTTTTTGAGATTCACACCTTTTGTTCCAGAGATATTTGGTGTTAAATGTTTCGAAAAACAGAAAAAAATATTTCTTTTGTAGATTTTCTCAAATAACTCGAAATCTGTTAGAGATATCGGAAAACGGTTTTCGACAGTCAATTCTACATAAAATGAACTATCTGTGAGCATATTTTAGTTGCGATCTGAGAGATTTCGGTTTTTGACAAAATCGACAGGGAGGTGCCGAGGAATTTTTTCGAAAAATTTTGAAAAATCGATTTTGCTTATTTCGTCGGGTCTCAAAAGTGTCTGACCCCTATAACTTCTTTTATTTTTTTCAGATAAAAAAACGAAATTTATGCCCACTTGCACCGTTTGTATAAACTTTGTTTAAAGGCTAAACAGTGATTAACTATACAGGGTCCGGCAATAGTGCGTCGGGCATCTGTAGCTCCTAGAATAAAGAACTTGGAAATTTTGTTTAAGTGCAAACCTAAATTATATACTAGGATGTATTTCACGAAAATATTTTAACTTCTATAGGGTGGCTCAAACAAGTGTGAGTGGATCGAGATGATTTTTTTTAAATGGAACACCCTGTTTATTATTGCATTTTTGGCTTCTTTTTAGATCACTTTACATAATCCTAAGACATGAGTAAATATATTTCGATAATTTCAGAGATATTAATAAATAAATAAAAATTATGTATTTTTCAGCCATTCTTTCAAAATTATTAATAATACAAGAACTGTTCTGAAATCAAAACTATATTAGGTATTTACTTTAGATGGTCTGTTCTTACTTTGCTATAAATATGAAAATCGCAAATCATACAGGATGTTCAAAATTCTACGCCAAACTTTCTAAAATATAAAATAATTTTTCTTAGTTTTTTTTATATGGAACACCCTGTATATTATTTTTTCAATAGATGGAGAATTAAAAAATGAACATTTTTTGTATTTAGAGTATTTCAAAATTTTTAACGGTTTCGCAGCCACCCAATAATTTTTCTCTCGTATTTTACCATTGAATGTGCCATATGAAATAATACTGCGTGTATCTGCAAAACTATTAAGAATTTTGAAATACTTTGAATACAAAAAATGTTCATTTTTTAACTCTCCATATAATAAAAAAATAATATACAGAGTGTTCTATTTAAAAAAACAAAGAAAAATATTTTATATTTTAGAAAGTTTGGCGTAGAATATTGAACATCCTGTATGATTTACAATTACCATATTTATAGCAAAGTAAGAACAGGCTATCTAAAATGAATACCTAATATAGTTTTGATTTCAGAGCAGTTCTTGTATTTTTAATAATGTTTTTAAGAAGGGTTGAAAACTATAATATTTTTGATTTATTTTTTAATATCTCTGAAACTATCGAAATATATTTACTCATATCTTAGGATTATGTAAAGTGATCAGAAAGGAAGCCAAAAGTGCAGTAATATACAGGGTGTTCCATTTAAAAAAATCATCCAGATCCACTCACACTTTTTTGAGCTTTTTTAGGTTTGCACTTAAACAAAACTTCCAAGTTTTTTATTCTAGGAGCTACAGATGCCCGACGTACTATTGCCGGACCCTGTATAAGTTTACTTATAAAACAACAGCAATCTTTACCTCCACATCACCCCTGACGTCGTTTTTTTATTGTAGGGTATTTACACCTTCAGTAATTTTATTTGTACCATACCATCGACAAAAAATGCGTAAAAGGTGCCAGTTCCTGTTATTTTAAGTTGTTTTGTTTAGGTGTATAGGTAAAATTATTTATAAACTGCTATTTTTTAGAAATTTAATGCTTAATACTGTATTGTCAAATAATATCTATATTTTCATTTATTAAATGATCACCTAGTAATAATTCTTTTTTCAAAATATTTTTTATTCGATCGATTATAAACGGATTTGACGAAGACGATTTATTTATAATCCTCTCAAATTTTTATAGTAGACAGAGAGCTACAGCTACTGTTTCTTGTTCTTTCTGCTGCTTTGTGCCGTTTAGGGAATATCGTAAGCTGCTGTTCAGTGAAATTCTACGCTGAATGTCAGCGGCTGTGTTCCCTGAACGCGCCCATTGTAACATGTGGTTCAAAACGACAATTTGACTCGAAATACCAAGTGTGTGGATCCAAATTATTCGTAATAAAATACTTTTTACAAATATGCTAATGTGCCACAACCTACAAACACCCTTGTTCTGTTTGAAAAAATTGAAATATGATTAAAAATACACCTTTAGCATCTTTGGCATTTGGGCATCTTTTAAGAGTCCATTTCACTAGCAAATAAGCTTTCGGCATTTAACGTTTTATGTAAAACAGGCTAAGTATTTTTACACAAATGAAGAAGGAAATTAAAGATAAAGGATTATACTATATTCGTATTGTAGCACATTTTTAGACAACTTCTTTATTTTCAAGATTTTGATGGTCAAACATCAACAAAATAATCCTTATTTTTGGATTAAATTTTCTCGAAAACAAAGACATAATTTTAAATTCTGTTACAATACGGAAATAGATTGAAATTTTGTGATTACAGTGTTATATAATTTATATGGTTTTGTAACAAATTGCTCACTATTTTATGGCAAATGCTGAAGCTCTGCAAACTTTAATCAAGCCTTAATCAAAGCACGTGTGTTTGGAATTTTGGGTGTGGCTTAACATGACAGGATCGGGCTAAGTCTTAGGCATATTTCTGAAATATAATATTATATTTCCTTCGGCCACACACACGCTTTACCCGACCCCTTAGAGCGACCAGAACGTACAGCGTAATAGACTCTTAACAGATCAAGACACGAAAAACATTAGACGATCAAATCTAATTTTATTTTTAACACAGCCATGGCACTCTACATAGACTGAAATTTATAGTACAAATGTTTTTAAGCGAAAATGTCAAAAGCTGACATATATTCTGTTTCAGATTGATTCGATCAAAGAGAGGATGAAAAGCTTTTTGTGCTAGGAGGCCGCTAAAATGACAAATCTTTTTGAAATACTATTTTATGATTTTTTTTATAGAGGGTGTGCCAATATTCCGTAACTACTACGTATTTTTGGAATCAAAATAAGTTCATTGGACACAATTTACCTCTATACAAAAGTGCTTCGTTTGTCCGCTAGAGGACTTCAAACTTTAAAAAAATAACCACATTTTAAGAACCGTTATTCCGATTTGAATGAAATTTTGCGAGTCTATGTTTTGCTAAGTGCTTTAATATTTGACTTTCTCAAAAATCAAGAAAAAGTACGGGAAGGGTGAAAACTACATCTACCCCTACATAAATCTTAGTAGAAGTATTTTTCAACTCTACCGACAAATTTCCTTTCGTCTAATGGTCCCCCTAGTTAGGGATCGGCAAGACAAGAAATCTTCTCTTGACAAGCAATTTCTTGTCTTGTCTTGAAATATTTTCAAGAATTAAAAAAAATCTTGTCTTGGCCATTTCTTGAGAGTTGATTTCTTGTCTTGATTCAAGAAATCTTGAAATTTCTTGACAAAAGGGGAACCGCCTGTTTAAAAGTCGCGGTGAGATTGGTTAATGTGATGTTTATGCTTTATGCGTAAAATCGAGGGTCAGGCATCTAATTTT